GGGCATGGGTGTGTGGGCATGGGTGGGGGGATGCAGGCCTGCAGGCACTGGTGTGTAGGTGTGGGTGTGATGCAGGTGTGTAGGTGTGGGTGTGTGGGCGTGGGTGCAGGGGTGCAGGTCTGCAGGCACAGTGTGTAGGCGTGGGTGAGAGGCAGGTGTGTGGGTGTGGGAGTGCAGATGTGTCTGTGGGAGCAGGTGTGCAGTCGCAGGGGTGCGCCAAGTAGCCCACCTCTGGGAGGGGACAGCAGAGGGGCCCTTAAGGAGTGTCACTCTGTTCTGTGTGTTCCTGCTTCAACACAGGGTCTTATACACAGACATGTCCTCACATATATTCATTCACACTCACACACACATAGCTCACGTAAGACATACAAACCATCATATTCAAACATGCATGCTCATGTACACTCAGCTCCACACATTCCCATACACACCCCTATGCACTCACACAACTAATACCCATACACGCCCCTTACAGGCTGCCATCCATGCACACATACATTCCCACATGCCTCCACACAAAGCACCACACATGTGCACACACACAGGGCGAGGAGGCCGTGGTGCCACCAGGAATGCAGCCCTTCGGCACACCTGGGGCTGATGCTGAGCGCCAGGAAAGATGTGGAGTCAGGAGGCGGCAGCACAGGTGGCTGTGGGCCGGGAGGGCTGTGGACAGTGACAGCCACCAAGGGCTGTCTTTTCTATGTGAGAGGTGAGTGTCCCTCATGCCTTGTGAGTAGGGGGGTGTCCAAGCTTGAAGACAGGGAGTTGGGGGTCATCCACTTCCACTTGGTGAAGATATTGAGTCATTGTGACATTTTTGTGTTTATATTTAATTGCTGATTGTATGTTGGAATGACTAGCCCACAATTTTTGTTTTCTTTGTATGTTGTCTGTGCAAGCAGGGTACCGTGCTGGGGGACCAGTGGAGCAGCAGCAGGGTCCCCTGAGTGTGTGAGAGCAGGTGTCCGGCGACAGCTGTCCTGGAGGGCTGCTAAGCCAGCATGGAGTTACATGACAGCAAGAACTCAGTGGCCATGCCCTCAGGTGATGTCCTTGCCTGGGCTGCAGACGGAGCTGCTCCTGACCTGCAGGACACTGCAACAGCACTGGGGCGTCACTGTCATGATTAGACAGGTTTAGAGCAAAGAGGGCAAGATTTTTCAGATGTAATTATGGTCCCTAATCAGGGAACTCTGAGTTAATGGAAAGACAGTTTACCTGGGTGGGCCTGACCGGATTAGGTGAGTCTTTTAAATGCGGGCCCCAGCCTTCCCTCATGTTAGAGACTCAAAGAAGTAGAGACCCCCCTCTCTGTTTCAAGAAGCAACCTGCCACACATTCTGAGTCCACAAAGAAGTGAACTCTGCCAACAAGCAGAGGGACTTCAAAGGGGGTCCTTTCCTTGCTGAGCCCCAGATGAGAACATGGCCCAGGAGACACTCTAACTTCAGCCTTGTTAAGCCCTAAGCAGAAGACTGTTAGCTCCTGCTCAGAGTTCTGCCCACAGAAACTGGGAAATAAGAGCATGTTGCTTTAAGCTAAACTTAGGGAAATTTCTCCTGCAGCAGAAACAAACCAACACAGGCCCCGAAGGAAGGACTTGCACACCCACACCCTGGAGTGTGGACAACAGAAGTCTGTGTCTGCTGCTAGGAGCTCTAAGTTCAAGTCCTGGCAGCCACAAGAGAGATCTGGTAGGTAACAGGGTGTCTCTGAGCCTCAGGAGACTGCTGGGAAAAAGAGTCCAATGCCCACGCCCTCATGATCTGGCTCTGCACGTGGACAGCAGGGATGGGGATGAGACTTGATGGATGTCCATGTCCTGTGGCTCCAGTAAGACCACCTGGCCACCCCTAACACGCTGTTTCGTCTTAGTCAAATAAGTCAGCAGAATACAATTCCTAATGGAACCACAAAAAGAGTAACATAGTGCATGACTTCTAACTGATGAGCGAAAAAGAAACGAATGAAGAAAATCATCAGTCCAAAAGAAACATGTAAGGAGAGGAAAAGAAAACCAAGCAACGAAGCAGACAGGACACATGGAACGAGTGAAATAAGACACTGATATACTAAACCAAGCCCATTGCCATGGAGTCGATTCTGACTCTCAGTGCCCCTAGAGGACAGAGAACTGTCCCACAGGGTTTCCAAGCCTGTCAATCTTGACAGAAGCAAAGCCCAAAGCAAACCCACTGCCATGGAGTGGATTCAGACTCACTAGACTCTGTCCTAGAGGACAGAGTGGAACTGCCCCACAGGGTTTCTAAAGCAGTCAATATTGGCAGAAGCGAACTCCCTCATCTTTCTCCTATGCAGCGATGGTGGGTTCAAACCACTGACCTTTTGCTTAGTGCTGATTATTTTAACCACTGCACCACCAAGGCTTCTTTTGGATACATGGGCACTAGTTTAATTTGAAAGGTTCCAGTTAACAGGCAAAGAGTACACAACTGCATTTTGTATAGACAAAGGATTGAAGAGAATTTGAAATGGCCAATATGTGGGTAACTTGAAAAGTTTTTTTTTTTTTTT